GAACATGCGTAGTACGTCCGGCATGTGCTTTCTGTGTGTCAACCTCGCTCCCTGCTCTATGAGAGACAAAAGTCCACAACAGCAGTTTTTAAAATGCTCTTTTAACAAACTATTAACCAAAAACAAAAGTACACACATACACAAACATGATACTTTCACATTCACACAGAAATACAGAGGAAAGAGAACAACGGATGTAATATTCATTCATTTGTGTACATACATAAACACACTCGATTTAATACAAACAGTACATGTTTGTCCACAACAGTTGTAGAGTGTGTTTTGCGACTCTGGGTCTGAAAAAACTCTATATACAATAAAATTACTTACTTTCTTTTGTTTTTGTCTTTAATCAACAGTCAAACCGCACAGTAAACATAATTCTGGATGTAGACACACATTTCTCCTCAAACTGCCTGCACTTTATCACTGCTAATTTCAAACCCAATTTCCCTTTAAACCCGGCTCTTAATGTGGCTGCGAGCTAATTGCCGCGTCCCCCCGAGTGCGGCAGAGGCTGCTTACGTGGTTCTCGCGCTCGGGCCTGTCCTCGCGCTTGAGAAGTTATCTGAAAAATGGCCCCGGCGTCCAGAGCCATATGGCTGAGTGAGAGCGAGCCGCACGGGGCACTGGAGCACGTAAAGAGGTGGAAATGGCGTTAGCTGCTCGGCTGCTCGCTGTTGGCAATCACCGTCTCAGCCGAGCGGAGAAAAGTGTAAACGGCACAGGATCAAGAGTCCGCTCACTGGTTTGGACACGCCACATCAGACCAGGACTCGGAGAAGGACTCGGAGCAGGACTCGGACCAGGACTCGGACTCAAGCTGCACTGGTCACAATGCAGGATACACAACATACATATTCTACAGATAGAGACATAGATATACAGTATAGAGGTGACAGTGGCTCAGTTGGCGGAGCATTGGCCTTTGAGCCTTTGATCACATGACTTTCTCCACCGACTCTCTCTGATGTCTGCTGTCGTTGTGTCCTTGGGCAAGGCACTTAAACTCTGGAAACACCAGTGGGTGGCTGCGGCTGTAAAGTGCCAAACTGCCGTTGTGTTCTTAGGCATGACACTTTACCCCCATTTCCTAGAATGAGTCTGGTGTGTGTGTGAATGGTCGGAGGGGCCGATGGCACAGACTGGTTGCCTCGCTTCTGTCAGTGTGCCCCAGGGCAGCTGTCTATGGAGTGAATGAATATATATATACAAAAAACTATGCATTATTATTATTATTATTATATAGAGATACTTAGATAGATAAATAGATACAGTAGATACAGGTGTCCAGCAGCGGAAACACATCATCCAAACAAACACATACTGTAAATTCAAAATGTTTCTAACTAACTAGCAATAGAGCAGATGTTGAACTCAGACAGATGTGTCGTACAGTCTGAGAGCCAAAGAAACAAAGGAACCTGGTTACCCATCTGAGTATGATTTGTATGATCACAGGGACAGTGTACAATAAACATTAGCCAAAAGGAGAGATGTATTGTAGCAGGAGCTAATGTGCAGCTGTGGTCCCGGAGCAGGTTGTTGTAAAAATGTGAAATTAAAGAGATCAGACAGAAATTATAATTTAATTTACTACAAGTTATAATAAAACTAGCAGGCCCCCAATCTTCACCTTCTCTCTATATTCATAATGACCTCACACTCATATATACACACACACACAACAGACACACATACACATACGCACACACACATATACAACACGCACACATACACAACAGACACACACACACACACATATACAACACACACACACACAACAGACACACATACACTTATACAACAGACACACACACACATACATACATACGCACATACATAGACACACACACATAACAGACACACACACATGCATATACAACAGACACACACACACATACGCACACACATAACAGACACACACACACATACATACGCACACACATTGACACACACATAACAGACACACACACACACGCATATATAACAGACACACACACACATATACATAGGCACACGCATAGACACACACACACATACTGTATACAACAGACACACACACACATACGCAACAGACACACACATACATACGCACACACATAGAGACACACACACATACATATACAACACACACACATACACAACACACACACATAACAGACACACACACACACATAGAGACACACACACAATAGAAACACACACATACATACATACATACGCACACACATAACAGACACACACACACATACACAACAGACACACACACACATATACAACAGACACACACACACACACACATAGAGACACATACACAACAGACACACACACACATATACAACAGACACACACACACACACACACATACACAACAGACACACACACACATATACAATAGACACACATACACATAACAGACACACACACATACATACAGTACATACGCACACACATAGACACACACACACATATACAACAGACACACACACACATACATACATACGCACACACATACATAACAGACAGACACACATACGCAACAGACACACACATAGAGACACACACACATAACAGACACACACACATACATACATACGCACACACATAACAGACACACACACACATAACAGACACACACACAACAGACACACACACACATATACAACAGACACAGACACTTTATCGATTGAATTAAAGTAATTATTCCATATCTAATACCTCCCCTTTACCAATAAATAGCATATTACTTCAACACGAATCCACGCGTCCCTTTGTTGGCTAACTTTAACCTGAACACATGTGTCGGATCAAAACTATAAAGGAAGATTTTCTACTTCCGTGTGGATCACCAAGACTATCGGTTCTCCCAATTGTCAATCATTCTGGTGATACGTGCTCGTCAAATAAGACCAGAGAGTGTGGTTTAAAAAGTGGAGAGGGCATTTATTTCCCTAAAATTTGGGAACATCCACCTATATACCTTTAAGAAAAACTAAATATAGAAATGTTGTTAAGCCCTCACAGAGCTCTGCAACCGTCTCTTCACATCACTTCGGAAATAAACTCCCCGCCGTGCCCCTTACGACAAACAAATCTCTCTCCTCTCCTCTACATAACGTCCTTGAGGCAGCGGCCCTCCAGTGGCAGCCGCCCGCAGCCCGACGCTAAAACAGGTTATGATTAATTATTTCGGTACCAAGTGGCTCCCATTAAACGCACGTGTGTACCAACGCCGCCGCTCGATGCTCGACAGAATTCTATAAACTGGTATTTCTTGGCAGGGCGAGATGACAGGGTGTTTTCGGCGGATGGCAGGCTGCTTTTCTCCAGGGCTATTAGAGGACTGGAACATTTGGTGCCATATGCTCGCGGCTTGTTTGGGAATAGAGCTGCAGCCGTATCGTGACACGCCGTAGCTTACATTTTGCCAGTTAATTACCATCATGACATCGAAATTGGGAACAAATTACAGATGCTGCCCCCCGTAAGAGGCTCAAGGGGGAGGGCGGGAGGGAGGGGAGGGAGGGGAAATGACTTTAAAGTGTGTGGGCTATGGATTTTTCCCCACTGGGTTTTTAGACTTGTTTCTTGCCGAATTAAGGAGGGTCTGAGGACAGCGGTGATGATCCAGGACTCTCCATATTCAACCACGTTTATGGACATTTGTTATCTGCCCCCATATGGACCAACGGCTCTATGCGTTTGTCATTGTTGCATTCCCCGTGTGTGATTTTCTGATCTCTGTTGGAGAATCGACTGCTTTGTAATGTCCTCAGAGATACTGTCACTACTGTTGGGATTTAGAGCCATACAGATATACATTTAATTGTGCTTTACAGTGAGAAGATCCAGGGTTGGATTCAATCTCCAGACATGACTTTTATGTGGGGAGATTGCGTGTTCTCCCCATGTCTGCGTTTGGTTTCCTCCGGGTGCTCCGGTTTCCCCCACTGCTAACGATGCAAATTTTCCCAAAGCTATGATCCAGAGAGGTGTGTTCTTAACATGCATTTGTCCCAACCAAATACAATGGTGGACAAATGAGTTGATGACTAAATGCCAAAATACAAATACATTTTTACCACTTACAAGAGAATTAATGAGGGCAAACTACTGCCTTTGGATGTGTCCATATGCATAGATTGTATGCGTGTGTTTGTGTTCTGCTTATGAAAATATTGTAAGGTGAATTTCTCAAAAAAAATTTTTTGCACTTCCCGTTTATATCGGTAACAAGCATCTAACTTCACACTGGCCGAGTTACACCAAACTGAGCGAAATTTCAAGAAAGTCAAAAACACGGGTCTCCAACCTGTAGCACGGGAGCCACCAGTAGCTCACCACCCCCTTCCTGGTAGCTCGCCTAAGGATTTAGAAATGAACAAACAGAAAGTAAGTAAGTATTTATATAGCACATTTTTACAGAACAAGGTCACCCAAAGCACTTTACATTTCAAGTTCAAAGTTCAGACATTCACACTGTGATGACGGAAGCGAGACGCAAAACACACTGGACCATCAAAGCCTCCGACCAAACATCGGCCAACTCACTCCATTCATAACTATTGTACATGTTTTAGTGTTAGGGGAAACCGGAGGAACCTACGCAGACATAGGGATAACGTTCAAACCCCACTCAGAAAAGGCCCTCTCTCAACCGGGATTCGAACCCAGGACCTTCCTGCTGAGAAGCGAGAGTGCTAACCACGCTATCCATATTATTCATTATATTGTAAATGCGCTTACTTTGTCACTAGTAACAAAGATTTAATGATAAATTATGATTGTTCCCGATATCAGACTCGTTCAAACCAATATTTCACCACAGTTTTTCCCCGGGCCGCTCAAAGGAGTAGCTCTCTGCTTTTATCTCCCCGGAAAGTAGCTCTCTGGGTGAAAAACCTTTAGTATTGTTTTAGTCACAGTTGAAAGCCAGTTGATGTTGACAGAGGCCGCTGCTTCCAAAGTGTCGGAGTATGTTGTCATCCTCACACCTAATGTCCCCTGTGATGTCGCACAGCTCTGCGGTCCACTGGGCCTGGGGGCTGTTGGTGCAGGGCGGGCGGCTGAGTGGCAGACTTCTCTTAATCAGCGTGCTATACGAGCAGAGGTAATTTAAAGACGCCTCGCCACTGACAAGAATTAAATTGTGTTTTGATTTTCTCATTAGCCTAATCTCAAGTGGGCCTCGTTATTGTGTAATTTTCCTGCCTTGACACGACATCTTGTTTTGGGCGATGACAGCCGTATGGGGCTGTTGTTTCCGCGGTGACAGCTTGAAGTGATGTGGTTGGCTGTTCTCTCCGATACGCCTCCCACCTCTGCACCTCCCACCTCCGCACCTTGTGGAAGAGCTTTGCAGAGAAAGAAGAGGCGAAAGGCATCGTTGGATCGCCGTGGGGGGTGTCGCAGATCCAGACAGGAGAGTGAGGCTGTGTGCGCCGCGGAATACAAATGAAATGTTTTCCGGAGCTCATGCGAAGAGTTTAGAAGCACAGATAGTCCCAGTATGTGGAGAAAGCATGTCGACAAGTCTGCTGTGGTTTTGTTCTAATACAGGGTCACATATGATCGACAAATGTGGCTATAAGGCTTAAATCTGTGAGAGCTCAAGCCCATGATGTTTTTGTTGTTTTTTGTTTTAAATATAAGATTATACTTATTTTACTGAATCTACTGAAAAAAGGTACATTTGGACAAAATCATGTTCATTAAACCACTGCATGTAAATGACCAGTGTTTCTGAGAGGCAGATGTTTTTAATTTGATTTCACAGTCAAATATAAATACATTATACTTAGATGTATTTTATTTATATTTAGAACACACCTCTCACGGCGTCACTTATGTCTCAACTAAGACATCCTGTGCTAAACACGTCTGCTCTTCATCCTCATCCTTCGTCTTCTGTTATTTATGGACACCTTTGGATTCCTATAAAGCCGTCTGTGAGCGTGACGCCCTGTGGACACGAACAGACACTGTTCTAGCGTCGCGGCCGAGCCATGAAAAATCATGCATGCCATAAATCATAGGCCTTAGTGTCCAGGCTTCTTCTCTGGACGTTTCTCATCGTCAGTCTTTAGCCAAATGTGAAAGCCCTGGCCCCCACCCTGACCCCAACACCGGCCCTACAGCTGCTGTGGTAGATCTAAAGGGTAGAATAAGTCCCTGTATAGACGGAGACGCAGCAAAGCAATTAGCAAAAACGACCGGGCTCCGTATTCAAAGTGATAAGCGTCTAGACAACAACGGAAAACAATGTAGTTCTAGCGCACTGTAGTTCAGATTCAGATTCATTTATTGGCCATGTGCAGTATAAAAACTACATTGGAATACATTTGCAAAAAAAGGTACTCTGTGTGCACCGACAAAATAAAAAGCACGATGCAATGTAATATAAAATACACATACACTGAATATAAAATAATAATAAAAAACAGCTGACACTGTGGCACCGATCAACAAAACGATACAAGGGGTAAAAGCAGGAATTAAAGTGCTCTGTTTAGGCACCTAACAGCCTGTGGAAAGAAGCTGTTAGCATAGCGAGATGTCTTGCATCTCAGCGACCGATATCTTCTGCCAGAGGGAAGGAGCTGGAACATGGCTTTCCCAGGGTGGCCAGAAGAGTCATTGATGATTTTAAGAGCTTTGTTTAAAAGTCTGGATTTATAAAGAACCTCCAGAACAGGAAGCTCACAGCCCACGGTCCTCTTTGCAGAGCGGAGCACCTTGTTTAAAGCTCTCTTTTCTTTATCTGTGATGTTTCCAAACCACACAGACACAGAACCAACAAGTAAACTCTCAATGGTGCAGCCATAAAAGTTAAGCAGAATCTTAGAGTTAGTGGTAAATTCTCTAAGTTTCCGCAAAAAGAAGAGCCGCTGACGAGCTTTCTTAACAACCCGGTCAGTGTTTTTAACCCATTTCAGGTTAGACAGAGTTAAACCCAGGAACTTGCACTCCTCTACAATCTGCACCCGGGAGTTGTCAATAACAACAGGAGTGTGAGAACTGCTACGACTGAAGTCAAAGACAAGTTCACATGTTTTTGCAGTGTTCAGCTGGAGATTGTTTACTTTACTCCACTGAAAAACATGTTCGATCTCTGCTCTGTAAGAGGATTCATCATTGTCACTGATGAGACCGATGATGGTGGTGTCATCAGCATATTTGATGATCAAGTTAGAGTCAGAGGAGGACACACAATCGTGAGTGTACAAAGTAAAGAGCAGAGGACTCAAAATACATCCCTGAGGAGAACCAGTACTCACAGAAACAACATCAGAAAAACAGTCCTTGATTTTTACTCACTATTGAGTTCTAACTCTGGTCTCTCTCTCTGGTCTCTCCCTCTCTGGTCTCTCCCTCTCTGGTCTCTCCCTCTCTGGTCTCTCTCTCTCTGGTCTCTCCCTCTCTGGTCTCTCTCTCTCTGTTCTCTCTCTCTCTCTGGTCTCTCTCGTTGGTCTCTCTCTTTTGGCCTGAGGACAACACCTCATTATGTTTTGTAAATCTCACTCTGTGCATAGCAGACTTGGTTTCATGTGTAAAGTATGGTTTTTGGAGTCTTCTCTAGCTCCTTAGGATTAAGTCAATGCTTGTTTTGCTAAAAAAGATAACACAGAAAATAGTTTTTTTCTGCAGTCTAAACCTGCCCTTTTGAATTGTGTGGTGCCCCCCAGGGTTACATATTTGGCCCGATTATTTTTTATATAATTTTGTCGAGAGCAGCCTGAGGTAACCTACACAGACTACTCACAGACAGGCTCCAAGTGGGAGTCAAACCTTTTTCTAAATACTTGGATGGTCACTGCACTTATGCTAGCATGCGGAGACTTTATGTTAGCAAACAGAGGCTCATAACTCTTCTCTTCAAAGGAAGCTGTCAGAACTGTCCTTCTCAAAGTGTGAGTCCTCAGTGTCCGTACATCAAACGCTACAGGAGGAAGTCTGGTCTGTGCAGGTCAGACCCATCCACAGATTTATCCCAGAGAACAATGGGGAGACAGGAGCCGAGCGTGGACGGCACAGGGACTGTCATCGCTGCAGCCTTGGTTCCCACACGTCGACTACATGCAGACGACAGAGAAAAGAGTCCACAGAAGTCCTCATCCTGTTTGGGTGAGCGAGGCCCCGACTCTGACCCCAATGGACAGAGCTGGGTTCCCGTCACTGCTTCTGTTTCGGAACTGTAGCTGTACCAGTAAAAGTTAGACAAACATTTTTGAGATTTTAACATGTAACACTGTAGCTCTCTGCCCTCTGGTCGCCGCTACAGCACTGCAAGAAGTGATGAAAAAAAGTCAATAATGGGTCAAGCTTGGCTAATGTATCTTGTACTGTGGAACTGTGGTTATTGCTGTTAGGAATTTCTTTGACTTAAAATAAACTAAAAAGACACATGTATTTATTATAGTCATTTCACCGCATGTTATTGACCACACAGATATCTATCTTTCTATACAGTATATTAACTTGAGCACATTCAGACTGCCTTAAAATGAGATTTGCAAATGAGACAAAGCAAAAGGATCTTGTTTTAAAAAGATTCAAGAAATGTCTCCCTTGGAATGAGAGAATAATGCAAGAGTTCTTGAAATAAGACTTTGTCCCATTGACAAATCTTTTTCTAAATTAAGATAAAAACCACTTGATTCAAATTGTGTATTTTTTTTGCAGTGAGCCAGGTCCAGCAGCTCAGAGACAGTTTTTATTTTTTTAATCACAGAGAGGTCACACTCCTGAACTCTCACTCCTTTAAAGCACGTTAGATGCACCTCAATGTAATGTAATGTACCTATTGTATATACTAGCAATAGCAGCTTTGTACAGTCTCACACAAATGCATCTATATGTAAAAGTGTTGTCAATATTATCCTTTATTTGCACTATTGCACTGCTGGTTAGATATTAAGCTGCATTTTGTTGCACTGTTCAGACTTTATAATAACAACAAAGCTGAATCTAATCTAACAGTATAGTTCCATCATAAAAAACAGACATGACATTGTTACAGCGACTTCCAGGCTAATATCAGACCCCTCTGCCACAAATACTGCCCCTTTCTCCAGTGGAATTATGTTTTATAACTGCATGATTTCAATAGTTTAGTTTGAAGTATGGTTTTTGCCCTTTATGGACCAATGTCTCTGTGTGTTTGTTGCATGGGTCTATTATAATAACTAGATAGGGTATTACTAGCTTGGAGCTGAAGGGCCAAGCAGACTAAACCAGACTAAATTCACGTGGGCTACCCAGAAATGTTCCCCATAGAACTCAATGTAAACTAAAACAGCTCGACCTCAGCTGACAGAGAACCTACAGCTTTCATAAAGATCGGATTTTTTGGGAATTTTAATGTCCCTTGTCATCCTGAAGTTTTTTCTTCTTAAATCCCTCGTTTTCTTTAAATCCACACTTTAGTGCCACAAACTCTGCTCGTCTGGCTCCCGCTCTAACTCCCGCTCTGATGCGCAGCTCTGATTGGTCAGAGCGCGGCCAAGCCCCTCTGTGCATGTGCATGAGAGCCACACACACGTATTTGGCACAAAGCATCATGGGAGTTCATCCACTGCACAGAACCGGGAGGACCAGACGATTCCCAAATACATGCAAGTTTCCCATGGATCTTTGCGAGTTCTAGGTGACTTCCGCTAATCTTTCAGCCCCCATGCCGTCACAATGCACCACTGAGCACAAACCATTCATTTGAATACGGCGCCATCTTGGATCGCCAGGGCTTGGTTTATTACGGTTGCATTTCCAGTGTTTGAACAGTTTGATTCTCTGATCTGTGTTGGCGAATCGACGGCTTTGTGAAGTCCTGCGAGAAAACTACTGTTGTGTTTTAGGGCGATACAAAAATAAATTGAATTGAATCACCGTTGTGTATGGAGTGAAAGAACAATACCATGTGAAGCAAAAAAAAATATTATTATTATTATTACTATTATTATTATTACTACAACAGAGTAATAACGTAATCTCACTGCAGTATCATTTGAAGTGTGTTTCTCACCGTGCTCCAGTCTGTGCCGTCTGTGCTTCTAACTACTTTGCTGTTTCCAAGGATCTCTTTCTTGTTAATCTACACCGCAATTTACATAAAAATGAGGCTGTGAGAGTGATGCAACATCTGCTGATCAGAATTAATTGAAATCTGTAATGTTGTGCAGCGGCGCTAATTCGCCGCGTTACTCGCAGCATATAAAGAAGCTTTATGCTATTTAGGGACATCTCTTCACCATCCCTGATTGAGACATGGGCTAAATACTTAAAGCTTTCGGTGCAATGAAAGCTCCGCAGGCCTCACGGTTAGAGACTGATGTAATGTACGAAATATGCAAACTTTGAAAATAATAATAATAATAAATGCATTGGTTTTATATAGAGCTTTTCAGGACGCTCAAAGATACTGCACATGTCAAAATTCTATCACTCCAAACACGGTGGTGATAAACTACTATCATAGCCACAGCTGCCCTGGGGCACACTGACAGAAGCGAGGCAACCAGTCTCTGCCATGGGCCCCTCCCACCACCACCAACCATTCACACACACACACCAGACTCATTCTAATGTGGGCGAAGTGTCTTGCATAAGGACACAACCACAGTTTGGCACTTTACAGCCGCCCCACTGTGGCACCTGGTGTTCCCGGAGGTCTCCCATCACAGTCCAAACCAGGCCCTGTCCTGCTTAGAATCAGAGGTCTGACAGGATCTTGCTTTACACATACATACTTTTGTGCAATAGGAGAAACATGCACATATCTACAAGTTTAGTGTGTTGTATTTCTGGAATTATGTGGAAAGAAAATCCATCTAACTAGTTCCTGAATCTCAAAATAATTCAGATTTCAAGGCAAGGCAAGTTTATTTGTATGGCACAATGTGTACACAAGGAAAGGGCCGAACAAAACAAGATAGAAAGAATAATAAGATAAGAGTTCCTTTATTCTTCCCTCAGTGGGGAAATTTCAATGTTGCAGCGCACAGACAGGACAGTAGTAAGAGCACACAGGGAGCACAAACAATATATACAAAACGCAAAATTAGTAGTAGCTATGTTTCCTAACAGCTTAACAGGCTGCAGATGCTGTAAATGCTTCAATACCAGTCAAATAAAATATATATATATTTCACACAAGACACGAGACACAATTTTTATTATTATTATTATTATTATTAAGCATCACACAAGGCCAATCCGCTCTCAGCCCACAGTTTTCGCTCGTATACATTTGCCATAGATAAAATAATGTGGTCACTTTTGTTCCATTTACAAGTGTTTACTTTATTTAAGCCCTCTTCATAACGGTCTGTGTTTTTGGTATTTTATTCTGTAAATTTGTGTTGGTTTTGATTGAATGACTATTTCTTTCTATGGCGGGGGGTGAGTCTCTGAAACAGTTAAAATTTAGTAAATAATGGCATTTTTTAAATAGTGGGAAAAGAATAAACATGGAACATACAATGAATTACTGTGATTTCTGTCAAACACGACATGAACAAAACACGTTTCAGTCTGTAGTACTACACAACTGTCACTAGTCTCACACAAACACACACTTAATCACATGCACACACACGCACTTATACACATACACACACAGACACAGACACACGCGCAGCCAATTACTCTGCAATAAAATAACCCCCATTCATTTGTATGTATTCCTCTAATGATCTCGTCTACACACCCGTTATAAATACCACATTTATCTTAATTATTCCCATCGGTGCGAGACAGCCTGGAAATGCCAGAGCAGCTACCTGTGACGTCGCACACTGTGAGGTCACGGAGAAACGGCTCCCATTTATTCCCACTTAATCGGAAAGGTTACAGGACAGATAACGCGACAAGGGCCGTTTTGACTCCTAACCCGCGTGTGCATTAGCCGCGCGCTGATCTGTAAAGCGCGCTCCGCTGGGGTTCGCTAGCGAGTCTCTTTTATGTCGTGATCTATTGCCCCGCTTTAGCTGCGACCATCTATCACGCAGAACTGGCAGTAACGGATGAGAATGATCTGCTGGAAAAACTCTCTCATTTGTCTCTGTCGCAGCCAGTGAGCTAGAGCAGACGCTAACGCAGGGAGACGGCCCGGGAGGGGACGTAATTATGTGCGCGCACTTCTGCTCGCCGAGGAAGCCACATTAGGATGTAATAAAGCCTCTGGATCCTACTCCAGTTCATTTCCTCTTCCCGTGCTTTCTCCTGCTCGTGCTGTCAGCCTCTGCGAGTGTGAGACTGAAGGAACTGTGCGGATACAAATGCAAGGATTAAACGTCTCTGTTTGACTCACTGAACCACAAATGATTTACTTCACATTCTGAGTCACCGCTAAAACACAGCAGAGTATTGAGAGTATGTGTTGTAATGTTAGTTGTGTATCACTTGTTAGTTGTGTATCACTCGTTGACCCGGTGTCATGATTTTATTGGTACTTTTACTTTGAAAATTATTAGTTTTTTTGTTTGGGTTTTACTTCCTGCCTGTCCTGTTGATTGTTTTTACCCTCCATGATGTTTTTCACCTGTATTTAGACCCTGTGCTTCTGTTTATTCAGGCCCTGTGCTCCTGTGTATTTAGACCCTGTGCTCCTGTGTATTCAGACCATGTGTATTTAGACTTGTGCTCCTGTGTATTTAGACCCTGTGCTCCTGTGTATTCAGACCATGTGTATTTAGACTTGTGCTCCTGTGTATTTAGACCCTGTGCTCCTGTGTATGTAGACCCTGTGCTTCTGTTTATTCAGGCCCTGTGCTCCTGTGTATTTAGACCCTGTGCTTCTGTTTATTCAGGCCCTGTGCTCCTGTGTATTTAGACCCTGTGCTTCTGTTTATTCAGAACCTGTGCTCCTGTGTATTCAGACCCTGTGCTCCTGTGTATTCAGACCCTGTGCTCCTGTGTATTCAGAACCTGTGCTCTTGTGTATTCAGACCCTGTGCCTCTGTGTATTCAGACCCTGTGCTCCTGTGTATTCAGGCCCTGTGCTTCTGTGTATTCAGGCCCTGTGCTTCTGTTTATTCAGACCCTGTGCTCCTGTGTATTCAGACGTGCTCCTGTGTATTCAGACCCTGTGCTTCTGTTTATTCAGACCCTGTGCTCCTGTGTATTCAGACCCTGTGCTTCTGTTTATTCAGACCCTGTGCTCCTCATCGTTGTGCCTATTTTAAGTTTTTACTTTCTTTGTGTTTTATCTCATGATTATCCACAACAGTCCTCGGTGATGATGAGTTAATAATTATAACGCCACTTGTAAAGAGATTCTCAGGCTCAAGTCTCTCAAAACTCAACATTAAAGTCTCTACATTCACTCCATACACAGAGTGGACAGAAGGGAGGGGCCAGTCAGAAGGGAGGGGCCAGTCTTTGCCATCGGCCCCTGACCAACACCATCCACCAGAATCATACTGTGAGGAAAAGAAGTTCACTCCTGCCTAGTTTCCTCTCATCCAGGTTCAGTATTTATCTCAGAGGACTTTACAAAACCGTTCAATTCGCCAACACAGATCAGAGAATCCAACAGTTCCAACACAAGAACAAAAACAGAAAACGATAACGGGCATTCGACCAAATTCCATAAATGTGGTAATTTCACCTGAGAAATGCCTTTACACCAGAGACCAGTGTTTGAAGTAACACCTGAGCATTAGGACAGAAAGGGGCTGTACTTGTGGCAGAAGACACCGGACGATAAAAAGAAATAAAGAAATATTAATTCATCAGCAGCGTTTATTAAAGATCGTGTTTAAAGTTACATAAAGTTACGCAGCCACGAGGAAAATACACAGTTCAACCGAGACTTCCTCCCTGAGCTGATACAGGTGCTACAGGTGCTACAGGTGCTGGCCCCTGGGACACGCCTTCCTCGGATCTTCATCAGTATCTGTGCTTCTTTTCTTCACTGCCAAAGGACGGCGGCGTTCTCACAGGAGAAACACAAGTCCTTGGAAGATGCTCCATGTTCTGTATTTGTGCAGAGCTGGTAACTTCCCATAAAGGGAGAATTGTTCACAGAATATGTCTAAATATAACAAAAATAGAGAATCAAACTTGTGCCTCAGTAAGCATATGTGTGTGCCTAATATCTGAACTACCTGTATACTGTTGCAAGTTTTGGGGCTAATTGTGTACATTTTTCCATTACGAGATCAATAAAGTTTCTCTTATCTTAACCATTGTTATCTTTAGACCGCCCACTCCACACAGACACATGCAGTGCTCGAACACCCTTTAAGTGTCTTGCCCAAGGACACAGCAGTATTCACCCTGATGTGAGCTGGTTTCACACTTGCCAACCTGTAGGTCAGTCGATCAGACTGATGCAGCACTGATGTAAATGAGGATTCAAACCCCCAACCTCCAGATCAGAGGACAGGACCCACACAACCTTCAGCAATGTACAGTTCATCAGTTCAGACTCAAGAACCTGAAACCGAACATTTATAATTCTTGAATTTGTAAAATAAAGAGAGACTTACTTGTGGCATGAAAACATCTTTGTCGTCTGTGAAGAACTGATTTGTTATGAAGATCAACAGCTGTACGCAGATGAACACAAGCTCTCTGGATGATCTAATTGAATACAAAAGTATAAATCATCTAAATAAATGTTTTACTTTTGAAACTGCTGGAAATAGCAGCGAGTCCTAATATCTCTGAAACAGCTGTTGTTTTGTGTTTTCCAATTGTTTTTTTTTTTTGCTTTTTCAAATGTTACTACAGTGTTCATGGTTTTACACTGATCCAGACCAGAGCAGAGAGGATGGTCCCAACCAAACAGATCAAGAGGGAATCCACTAGAGTCATCACCAGCGACCACGCCACCTCAGCTGCTGCTGCACTTTATTACTAAGAAAGATGTATTTATTTTTTTGTTTGGATGTGTTTTCTGCTACTGGACACCTGAGTTTCTCCAACAGTAGGTAAGGGATAATGTATATAACACAGGTCATAATCGGAAAACAAGCACCGACAGGGTGAACCAAAAGGTTTATTTGATGACAGAAAATAAAATAGTTCCCAAAGGCTTCACCGTGGCTATGCGAGTAACAGTTAGGCTGGCAACTTCCAAACTAGAACTCTCTCAAACTACATGAAAACTGAACAAAGTATTCTGAACATCAGCGGTGAGTGACCCAAACATAAACTCAACCTAAATCCATAATTCGATCCTCTGCAAATGTGTCCTAAAATGTCTGGAATCTACTTCTGGGTTTTTAGCTAAAACAGTATTTTTGTCATGAAAACCTTCACAGATAATTTTGAAAACCTCCGTGCATGTGTGTTAAGAATGTATATGTATAAAGTATTCTCCGATTATTGATTGATTGAAAATGTGTGTCTATTGAGCGTGGCTAGCTCTGATAGCTTCTCTGCAGAGACAGTAGTAGCGATGAAGTGGCCGGAACTACTTGCGGAGTAATCTACACATCTGAATTACAAACAGAGGGTGCGTTGCCAAAGGGCAGCAGCCATTATTGTTTTGAGAGGTCTGTTATCAAGAAACAATAATCTGTAGAACGTTTTGAAATTACATTCAAATCAATGGAGCGTTCTACTGCTGCTGTGAGGAGCCGTGTAATAAAATATATATATCTAATTTCAGGTCAACCCAAACACAAGGTGGACGTCCAACAATAGGACCGTGATCCACCGTAAAGTTAAATACAGTCCATAGATAACCCTCATAATTCAAGTATCCTGATTCGAACTCACTGAGATCCGTTTCTTCTTTAACCCCTTTAATTTTTCACTGCCTTCACAACCTCGTCGCTCCCAAAGCAACTTCAATTATCTGCAAATGACGCAGTAGTAGCTGGAGATTAGATTCAACAGGCGTTTTGCAGAATGGAGCAGACAGCGTTTGGAGCCAGCCCCTCCTGTGCTCGCCATCCGCCCTGAATGCTTCCCTCTCCGGGTTCCAGTTTGGATTTGCTGCTAAGCGCCGGGGCCAGGCCTGAGGACGGAGCCAGGACCGAGCCAGAGCTGTAGTCTCCCATCTGTGTGGAGGCAGACGAGGCTACAGGCATTAACCTACTGTTGACACCAGCCAAGACACGAGCATCTGGGGCCATAAACTATATCTGAACTCACCACGGCTGCTCGGCTGTTGACGGAATGGTGAGTTCCAGCGCGACTTAGACTCTGACTTTATTGGTTCACAAGTGACTAGTGAAGCTAGCTGCTCACCAAAGAATGTTGCAAAGACAAAACACAAAGGGCTATGTTTGTCCATCCAGGTGCAAAGCCGCGGGTGTGAAGTGAAATCGTGTGTGTGTGTCTGTGCACATGCATCACACAATTCAGTTTGGTTTGATTTTTAGTACTGCTAATCACTGTATGGAATCACTGTACGCACACGGAGGCGATGCTAGACTGTTTGGGGCCCTTTAGGTGGAAGTCAACTCAGGGACACTTGAGCCAATTCTACAAACAATATATTTTTTCAAGCAGAAGTAGTAGTAATTAGTAATCTTTATTTATATACCGCCTTTTCACTGCAGATCTGAGTCTCAAAGCGGTTTACAATTGTTAATTTTTGGGCATTTGTTTCTCACTCCACACAGAGATGGGAGCGGGGTCGCCAGTACAGGAGGCGCATGCCAGAACTATTGGACATATTTTTAGTGGTAGGGGAAACCGGAGTACCCGGAGGAAACCTACGCAGACACGGGGAGAACATGCAAACTCCACTCAGAAAGGCCCTGGTCCAACCGGGATTTGAACCCAGGACCTTCTTGCTGAGAGGCGAGAGTGCTATCCACTCAGCCACCGTGCTGAGTGGAGTGAAGTACCATTCTAATCAGTGTTCTTGTAATTCAATATAATAATAGCAATTCACAACACACACTCCTTTCCCGCAGCCATAGCCTCGCCGCACCTTTTGCATTTTGTTTGATGAAGCTGAAGCAGAAATGTTGACTGGAAGAACTATGTACCGTTTTTCATCAAACTTCATATTGCAAGGAAGTTTCATACAAGTTGCGGCTTTCATTCATTCATGCAGCGACCCTCCTCCTCCCCATCTCCGTCTTGTCGGCCGGACTGGCTCTTTCACCCTTCTCCTCGCTCCCACCACCAAGGTCTTGGCCCTGGCGGATTTCATCTCATAATCTCTATCTACATTTCCCGTCTATATCATAACACAGTTTTCTGTCGGGGCCTTAGCACTGAATCATACCCACATATCTTGTACAGCAGCAATAAATGTAATCTCTCAGAAATACTGTCTTCATGATAGAAGCCGCTAATTTATGTGGCGTCAGACTAAATGCCACCGATATATATTTCTTATAATCTCCCTGTTTTTTGTCTGTTTGAGTCTCTCCGGATTGAATTAAAGCTAGTTCAGTAAAACCAGAGACCGGTACAGTCTGAGTCAACAGCTTTTTGAGCGGCTATTAATCTCAACTTCAATGACGAGTGCAGTTCCGTGGTGTGTTTGGGTCCAGAGATCCTCCAGAGACATCAGATTAGGTATTCCAATGTTTACTGCAAACAGCAAATAAACTGACTGTGAATCTGATTACAGAGTACCCCCATCTGCTCACTGAGCTGCGCCAGAACGAGCACCGGTACCTTCCTCAGCGCCATTGTGTCGGCAGCACTTTTTTAATCCAGTCCTGGCAGAATGTGAACTCGGGTCCTCTATTCTGGTCAACCCTGGTTTAATCTTGGTTTTCAGGGTTATTTCATGTTTTGTTTCGTAAATATTTAAACCCTGTATCTTCCTTAGTTCTACTTCCTGTGATGAGCCCTGTTTCACCTGCGTCTCTTTCTGTATTTTATTTTGTATGTGTTTCTGTTAAACCTTACTGTTCCGTGTCAAGGCCTCTTTTCTTTCACTTCTTGTTTATTAATTTTTTGTACAACACTTTGGAAAGTGCTTATTGATGAAATGTGCTATATAAATAAAAGTGGATTGGTTACTTTTTCATTATTTTCATTTTGCTTGTGTATTTGCTATTATCTACCTTTACGGCGTATTCGTGGCCATACTTGTGGGTGAAAGCCAGACCCACACCTTTTTACCTCTGCTGCTGAGCTTCAGTCTGTGTTCTCCTTTCGCCATAATACCTCAACGTGGTTTATTAGTGGAAAAATAATGCGAGCCGGCGGTTTTAGCACCGTCAAAGAACTGTAAACAAGCTGCAGTTGCCTGGATGAGTGACTCGTGAGTATCTGGTTCCAGCCGCAGCGCTGCCAAACCCTAATGGCCACGGGTTACAAAGGATTGGGGTTGAAGGATATCCCCTTACTTTGTTCTCTGGGTTCAAATCGTTGCTTAAGTGGTAACAACTCCTGGGTTATACTGATCCTCCTGCCCCATCTCCACGCCTGTGCACTTGACCCGCTCGTGTCCTCACCCATCAACAGTTCATTAAGCCGGCCTTCATAATTCTACTTTGAGAGCGGAGAGGAGCTCGCCTTAGCCCTCTGCACAACCACGCCGCTAATTGGAACCAGGAACTGTTAAAATGGGAACTTAAGTAAAACATGCCATAAAATTCTGAAGGCTCACCATAAACTAACCAATTCCTTTTCATTCTTTTAAAGGGGAACTCTAACTGAAACCTCTGCGTAAACTTTTACGAGGATCCCTGGGGTCACCCGTAAACCCGTTAATAGAGATGAGATATGAGCAGAGCGTAGGGCCTCCCATGCATTTCCAAGTCCCGATTTTTTGTGTTAAACCCCAGTTCCATTGCATTCTTGCTTGGGGTCAATCGCTGTACAGAGACAAACACAGCAGTGAATCTATTTGTTGTGAACGAGAGAGAAGCGTTGATGCTCAAGGTGCGACGCAGAGCTAAGCCAATAGTCAGTTCATGGACTCTTGGGGGGAGACTTCTGGGCCCTGGCTTTTGGGGGTTTGACAGGAGTGATGTTTGTGTGGAGGTGTGAAGAGGTGAAGCTCACACTGTTTTAGTGGCCATAGTGCTGTGGGAGATTTCTTTTATGTTAGTCTTGAAAGAGTTCATTAGTTTGACCAGCCATGTGACAGACAAAACTTATACTTTTACTGCCGCGAAAAGAACTAGCTGAAATATGAAGACTCGGGCTTTTCTGGCACAAAAGGTTTGGCGCCATTTTCTTCTGCTCTGGATTTCATGTCATCGGCGGATATAGATGGATTGGTATACACACACACACACACACACACACACAAACATATACAGTACCATACATATAGACAAAGACGTCCTTTATTTGTCCCACAATGGGGAAATTTCAGTTTGATGAATACATATACTGTACATATAAATACACACATCAAGGCAAGCAGCAAACATCACTTTTGCGCTCCTTATAGGCAAAGTGGGTTAAGTGTCTTGCCCAAAGACACAACGACAGCAGACTTCAGTGGGAGTTGGTGGAGAAGGTCTCGCGGAGGAGAAGGTCTCGAACCCACGACCTTCCAGCCCAAAGTTCCAATGCTCTACCAACTGAGCTACTGTCGCTTTTAAACTTTTACCGGACATATACTTTATTGATCCCTGCTGGAGAAATGCTGCATGTGTCCAGCAGCAGAAACGCATCCATCCAAACAAAACAAAACATACATCATTCATAAAGTGACTAACAATAGTAATAAAATGGTGGCGTAGTCGCTGGTGATGAGCCTCTTTTTCTGGTTGATGTCTGCAGAGTCTCATTTCCCTGCTCTGGTTCAGAGTGAAATTCGGAATGCTTGATTGGCATTTTTCCAAATTAAAATAGCATCTCTCTAATTGAATTCCGCTTCATCTGCTTGGTTGGGACCGTGAATGCTCTCTGATCTTGTCTGGATCAGTGTAAAACCATGAACGCTGTACTGCAGTAGCATTTACAGATACACACAAGAAAAATAACAATAAAACAACTGTTTCGGACGTACTCAGGACTTGCTGCCGTTTCCAGTGGATTCAGAAAGGAAAAGTTAAGATGCATTATTTCTGGCCTTTAAATATAATCTTATCATGGCTTTTCCTCTTACAGAACATAGAATCTCTATTTTTCGTAAACATCAAACATTGCACCTTACAATGCAGTTATAAAGAACATACATTCACAGAAGAATCTCGGTGAAATACGTTTGTTTTGACAGAGCAAATATGGCTACATAATTTACAAATACGTCAGTGTGGAATATTGGAATTATGATCAGAGTCTAATATAGAAGTATGTGTTCGAAGCAGAAGTTGTTGATCAGTTCCAGGTCTGTTTTTTGATGAGTTACAGGTCGTTTTCAGAGAGATTCCCAAACCATGGTTCAGGTCATGGTTCACTGCATTCTCCTGGTCACACTGACATGAATACCGTTACAGTGTTGTGGGGATAGTGTTACTGATTATGTATCATTCATTTATAAAGTTATTGTTGTATTTCTGTTCAGCTGCATCTCAAGATATGGCCCTAGACTCACAACTCACAACTTAAGAAATAAACATGATGGCTCCTCCTTGATGTGGTTCTCCCTGAGGTTTCTCATTTTCTCCCACTTTGTTTTTAGAGTTCTTCCTTGTTGATGTATTGACATTTATGGACATTGGTATCTGCCCCTTATGGACCAATGGCTCTGTGTGTTTTGTATCATTCCACTTCCTGTGTTGGTTAATTGACAGCTTTCTTAAGTCCTCTGAGATAACTACGGTTGTGATTTAGGACTAAGTTCTTTAAAACAGACATTTATTTATTTGAGTTTCGGGGGTCATGTTGACAATAAGCTTTTCAAGGATCTCCCATGGAACTGGCTGAAAAAACCAGACGTGATCCAGTTTGGGTAAATCCAGGGAAAGGGGAAATGTTTTTTGTATTCTTTGTAAATTTGAGTCTTTGAATGTCAGACATTAAGTATAAAGTGGCTCATCTTACCTCACTGAAACATGGCAGTTCAGGCAGCTGCTACAAAATACACCTTATCTGTGGCCATACCCGACGGTGAAGACAGATCCCGTCAAAACATCTCAAGCTAAGCAGGGCAGGGCCTGGTTAGTACTGTGATGGGAGACCTCTGAGAACACCAGGAGCCACAGTGGGGCAGCTGCAGCTGTAAAGTGCAAAAACTGTGGTTGAGTCCTTGGGCAAGACACTTCATCCACATTAGATTGAATCTGGTGTGTGTGTGAATGGTTGGTGGTGGTGGGAGGGGCCAATGGCACATCGTGACTGGTTGCCTCACTTCTGTCAGTGTTTCCCAAGGGCAGCTGTGGCTACAGTAGTTGTTTATCACCACCGTGTTAGGAGTAAATGAATAAAACCATGTAAAGTGTCTTTATTTAATTTATTATTATCTAACCGTCACCTTCAAAATATATTTCCTAAATAATATGTTGTATGTGCGAATAAAACCGTTAGTCCCCGATCAGGGCCTTAGGATCGCGACTATCCAAGAACAACACTGAAGAATGAAGAGCCAAACAGAGCTCTGCTGCTGTTACGTAATAATCAGTATCAGTTTATAGCTTTAAACTATAGAGTGAGAGCGACTGTAGCCGGAGCCGCTGGTGTCTCACCGGTGTCTTCATGCGAGGCTGTCTCCGGTGTCTCAATGCGCTGGTGTCTCGCTTGTGTCCTAAAGGTCTCTTGCTGGTGGCAAGAGTTGGGACCGTGACTTTGGAGTGTGACTTCTGAGCATGACATCAGAGCTGGACATCAGAGCTGGACTTCAGAGCGGGACTTCAGAGCGGGACTTTGGAGTGTGACTTCTGAGCATGACTTCGGTGGTTTCCAGCCGCAGTGAACCTGAGAGCTTTTCCCCACAGTGAGGTCAGTGCTCCGCAGCTTGAAGCAGATCTGTCATGATGCAAACAATTACTTAATTTTACAAATGATAATGATTTTTCTCCAGTCAGACTCTCCCTCGGGCAAAAGCAAAATGTAGGCCATGGAACAACGCCGTGTCAAGGAGTCAGAGGTCTGCGAGGCTTTGGTCCAGGGGACAGCCGTCTACATATTTCAATGTGGGGCTGAGGCTCAGGTTTCCCAGCAGAGCCGCGACCAGAGGCCCCCGCTTCAATTAATCTTACCCTTGTAGCGGCTTATAATTTGCCATTAGAAAAGACATTAAACCTGAGGGCCTGATTTGGAGCTCCTGGGACTGTGAGGGAGGAGGGGATCGGACAGCCCTCCGTTTGGCCTCGTGCTCCCTGGGCAAGCCCCCATCCTGGAAAAGAGACAGGTACTTAAAAACAGGGTGAAAAGATCAGTGCAGAAAAAACAAGGATGATTAATGGGTCAAAATGAGGCTCTTTCAGCTTTCATCTGGCTCTGATTCAGGTCTTCAGTGGCCATTATTAACCCACAGGACGACTGTCCACAGCAGAGTGAGAAATGAAGTCCCAGCAGCAGAGTGTGGAGGAGGCACAGGGGCTCTCAGCAGAGTGGGCAAGTTACACATTACTATTTCAAACAAATGTGTGACTAAAATATTATGGTCTCTGAATTGTAAAGCATTACCCTACTACTGCATTACTTTTACTTTCCCCAAATATAAAAATACAAACTAAATAGCGCTTATGATGCTAAAGCGTGAGGTTAACTGTTATGTTCACAACAAACTCTAAATAATGAGTCTGTCCATCTGTAACATGTGCTATTGTCCACATTGTGCT